AGCGCAAACGCAACCCGCCGGCCCTCGCACCCCTCGCTCCCAAGCAGCCCCCAGTGCCCTCCGCCCGGCCTGGGAACCCGCGCCAGCCCCGCGCCCGGCACCCGCGGGAGGAGACCGAGCACGCCGCCTACAAACCTGTGGCCGCCGCAGCTCCGGCGCTCCCTGCGGTGAGACGAGCTCGCGGAATCCGGGCGCGGAGCCGATGCTCGGCTTCCGACCCTTGGCAGTCAAGAGTGCTCCTTACACAACCTTCCCTGAAGTTACCAGGAAAGAGGCCTCCGAGAGACCGCGGTGACGAAACCCGTGGCCTCTGGTTTCGTTTCCTAGATCCTGAGTTACAAAGGGGCTTCCCGCCCTCGTCCCCGGACTGGCGCTTCCGCGTAGCTGCGGGAGGCTTGAGACCCGGAGGCGGGACCGCCGCCCGGGTGCAGCGCGGAGAGATTGTCAGCTCCCTTTCTGACCCCTGGAGAGGCTTCGAAAACGTTGGTTCTGAGGTTCAGGGCCGCGAGGAACTGGGAGGTCGAAACCAGCTGGAACTTGGTCATTAACAGGGGAGTGGCCTCTGGCTGCCCGGCTCGGGGGAACTTCCTTTACTTCGGCCTTGACCGACTTCAGTCCCTTAGATTCCCGTTGCTTTCAAGCCAGCGAGCTGGAAGCGGTACAGAGTACAAATGAGGGCGAGTCAAACTTGTTTTTCTTTATGGTGTCTTTTCTGTTTCTCTCTCGCTCTCTCTTTGTCTCTCTCTTTCCACTAAATGATGTTAACTCCTTTGGGGAGTCCAATCAACCAGATGTGTTTAGAATGTTTACTATTTCCAGCGCCCCTACTGGCAAACTGGCGCAGTAAGAAAATATTTGTTGACCTGAAGGATTCATTGTTGTTTTTCTAGTAAAATTTTTATTTACCAAAGTAACACATGATCTTCCAAACAAAGCTGGATATGGAGAAAAGAAGTGATATGTACCTTGCCGTTTAGCTTTCTGACTGCTGATATCTGCTGCAGAAGGAATAGGAAAACTGTAGAGATCAGTACATTCATTTGCAATGTTTTTTTTTCAACCTCTCCTCCTCCATGAATATTGTTTTTGAATCTCTAGAAGTTTCTGTTATCTTTTAAACAGAAGAAAGCTCCTACACCTTGCTTAGGGTGGTATATACCATTGCCACATTCTCTCCATGGCGATAGTGAATGAGGGTTGGTGAATAGACCTGTGAATATAGACTTTCAAGCATTTCTCATTTTGATCTTTAATTTTCAACTTTATTCTCCCTTTTACTTGAAGTCACTAAGTCCTCAGTCTCTCTGGGATTCTGTGGTAGTAAGTTGGACCTCTTTATTCTTACATCTGTCTATACACACGTTATAACTTCCTGTTATAAAATAGTTACCACATCTGCCTCTTTCCATTTTCTCAAACATGTTAAGATTTTATTCCCCTCTGTATATTAACATTTTCTTGTTCTTATTGTGCTTTTTATATCTTTGGTTTTTTGTTTGCTTTGTTTTAACTGTATTTGCTTTCATTTTATTATGCTCTCTAAAGAAAAGTACTTTTAATTAGAAAATATCTTTAATGAGAAAATATCTAGGCATAGCATAAACAATTAGTTGCCTACCCAAAACTCAGTATCTGCTTTTATATGGTAAAGTAGTGGGTCTCAAATTTTAATGTGCATCAGAAGCACCAGAAATTCTTGTTAAAACTCAATTTGTGAAGCCCTATCTTCAATTTTTCTGAATCAGTAGGTTTGGGATGGAGCCTGAGAATGTGCTTTTCTGATAAGTTCACATGTGGTGCTGATAATGTTGGTCCATGGACTTCACTTTGAGAACCACTTGGTAAGGGAATCCTATTTTGGTTACGTATTGGGGAGCAATGTGTTCATGGAACAAGGGTCCTAACCCGAAGTATGAATTTTCATTGGTAGACAATTGTATTGACACCGGCCCGTCTCCTTTGCCTGTGATTGGTGCACACGTGGGCATATTTCTCAGATTTGGCTGGGGAAAAATCTTCTTGAGGACTTTGAGAAAAGCATTCCTGGATCGGAAG